AAGAGATAGAGTCACAACTGAAGAAGGTGCAAGGGGAAGTATTCTCAACAAGCTACCCTACTGGCGACCAGTTGAATACTGTGGAATTGAAGTGATTCATGTTTTACTCCTGGGAAGTCTCAAGGATAATAGTTATATCTATCTATGGGCGTACTATTCTGGGAAGGATTTGGAGAAAACGGTCAAGCAAGAAAAGAACTGGAAGAAGAATATACATGACGGAAAAGATATTTTTAAAGGCCTCAAGTTTGCAGATTTAAAAAGAAGGAAGACACCTGATGAAGACTCAAGTGGAAATGAGGATGAAGAGCGTGCTGGGAGGAAGAGACAATTACTCAGTTCAAAGAATCTCACTTGTTTATCTAAAATCACAGAAGATGTAGCTGGTCCATCAAAACATCAGTACGGGTTGCAATCACTTTCTTCAAGGGGAGGAAGTTCAAGAGGATCTGAAACAGCATCTCAAAATTCTAAAGACTCAAGGGAATCAACGACCACAACTCACCGTTATGAACTGCGTTCAAGAAGTGTTGTCAGTGTTTCATCAATGGAGATTGAATCTGATAGAGAGACAGATCAAGTAGAATTGGAGGGGGAGAAGGCAGAGATTGAACTAGAAGAAGGGCAGGGGGAAGGGAATGATGAAGTTGAAGATCGTAAAAATGAGCCAGGGATTTCAAAGGAGGAACTGAGGGTGCTTCAAAATGTTATATCTCACACAATTATACCAACTTGGGTCTCGAGGGTTCCCAAGAGGTTTGGAATGGCGGGTGCAGGATCACTCAAGGCATCAGAGTGGTTGATTCTTTATACAGTATATTTCCCCCTGGCCATTGTTCCATATTGGGTAATCGGCAATGACTGGCAGACAAAAAAAAATGAAAGGGGCAAGTGGAATGACACACCGGGATGTTTTGCGTGATTCACTTCTCAAACTCATTGAGATTACCAACATCCTCATGAAGCACCAAATAGACGATAGCAATCCCCAGACGTTCTCCCAATTACTCCACGAATACCAACATCTCCTCCGACAAGGCTGGCCATCTGTGAAGAGCAAACCAAATATCCATGTAACACAGCATTATCCCAAAGTCATCAAGAGATTTGGTCCAGCTTGGGCACAAGAAAGACTGAATGGAATGCTAGGGAAAATTCCAAACAACTCTCATCTAGGTATGTAAACTTATTGACTTGTGCAAATTTGGAAAAGGGCTGATACTTATGCTGTACATGTTTGTTGTGTGCTACAGGGGAGATGCACCAAACCCTGATGAACACATGGAACCAGAAAGCATACTTGTATGGATTAGTGAATCAATCTGGAGTCAACTTGATGGGATTGGCAAGGGAAAATGGCCAACCGGACAAGCCATATACAAAACCAAAGGTTACCAAACTCGAACAACATGCCTACAAACAATGGTTAATTCAGCTACCAAAATTTGGCCTGGATCATGAAGTGGAAGAAGATTCAGAGGGTGTTGTCACCAAAGTGAAGACTTTAAAAATGTACAATCGGCAATAAAGCGCTGCAAAGGATGTGCATGTTGAACCACCTGGAAATTCCATCATTGAGTTCTCTAGCTTTGGTTGAAGGGTTTTTGGGAGAATCACCCTGTCGTTTAAATCAAACTCCAATGAGACTGTTTGGCTTTTGGTTTGGCCCTTTGAAACATTACAATCATGGGATCGCATGAAAAATACATACAAAGATCTCACACAGCTTAACACGCAGTTGTTGTATGCAAACAAGTTGGAGAAAGCCGAGTTGGTACATCAATCAATGGTGGTAGGACATATTGCAATACTTGAGAATGTGGAAGGCACCTTTGGAATCAGC